GCGTGCTTATCGTGTCAATCGTCCTCGCCGGCGTCTTCGTTCGCCGTGATTAATTGGCCCAATGGCTTGCTTAGATCTGGGGGCGCGTCCAGCATATTACCCCGATCCCCCGGAGGGGGTCAACGAGAAGAGGGCACCCATCATATCTCTTTGTCTCTCTCTTTCTTTCTTGTACTCTCTCTACAGCGATCGTCGTGAGTTAATCGACGAAGCGCCAACAGACGCCAAGATAACGATGGAAATTTCTTTCTCGTCAATCGAGGCCTTGATTGAGTTGTATCGGTATAAACAAATATACTGTTGACTTGACGGGCTTACTCAAGAAGGCAAATCTATGTGAAGTTGAGGGTAGGTCATGATTTTCTTTCTTCTTTTTTTTTTAAGAAACTCGTGAATAAAAAAGATTTCCTTTATTCTATACAGATTTATTATAAACAAATTAGAAATATTGGAAAAAAATAGTATTTGCTCCAATGTAAGAACGAATTGCAGATACTTAATTTTCGACAAATCGCAAATATTGTTAAGACTGAATACTTTACAGACAAGATGAATGACAATAATTAAATTAGTAATATCACAAGATATATAATGAGTCACATTACACTAAGAAAGAAATTATAAATTTAACAAAAATATTAGTTAATTTAACTAAATGCGGCGGTCACGAGCTGTCAAGCAAATGTTTTTTAATAAACTCTTGTATATTTTTAAAAAATTGAATATATAAATATTTAGACTAAAAAATTATTACGAGTTAAATGAATTTAATCAAATGGAGAGAAACAGGGCTACGAGCCAATAAATTCGTTAAAATTCTTTAATTTATTCTAATATATTGCTAATATAATAATTAAAATTATCTAATATAATAATTTATTCTTATATATGAATTTAATCAAGTTAATAACTTTTTCCTCAGTGCAGCAATCTAAGAAAAGCACAAAAATATTTTAATATAATTGTGTATGTATATATATATTCGATAAATATCGATTTAAATTATTATTAAAAGCTGTATATACATACGCGAAGACATCTTGAAATAACTAGATTATTTCACAAAAATACCACAATCAATTCTGGATAAGAAGAGAAAACACGAGGGGGTAACCACCATCTGAAATATTGTCCCACAGATTACATGATTTCATTTAATTTTATATAATTTTATTTGATGACAAATAATTTTTCCTCACTATATATGCGGTCAGTTCGAATAAACGATTTTATCTAATATTACACAATTATTTCCTGTAATTGTCGGATTATATATCGAAATTTTATATAAATTTTATAATGATTTCAGGGACTCCGTCCCACGATTACATTAAGTGATTACCCCCTCGAGAAAACAACTATGAATTCGGCGAATACTTGTAATGTTGCACGCATTACAGTATATGCAGTTTTATTCAGTATTATTTTATTGTACATACGCACGAGACACAAATGCCTCATCATGTTTTTTTGTTACTTTTCATTCTTTCTTATGCCTTCTCATTCCTTCTTATGCCTTCTCATTAATTCTTGTGTCTTCTCCGATATGCAACTTTGGATGGCTAGGCATTTATGTCCGCGTGTATACATTATATTTTGTCTAGGTCTAGAACAATCTTATTTTGTCACGATGGACGTTTCTCTATATATTTGCGGCATATCATTAGCAATGTAATATCATATGTGATAATTACGTGGTTAGACACATTAGATGTTAGCTAAACCCGTGGAATTCTACCAGATACGCTGAAAATTCGTATTAGCACGAGCAATGTCAGACGATACTTGATCGCTTTGAACGACAGATATGGCACGAGATCTTTCAGTTAGAATGACCATATTTTATAATCGGAACAGTATGGAGAGAAAATTGGATTAATATATGAACAATTATCTTTGTTTGACTGTTTTATCCTTGTCTTAACTGTATAACAAATTAAATTCTATAGTATTGTATTTTTCAACTTCATGATACTCTTCTCTAATTTTCTTCTCGTTTATCTCAGGAGTTCATAATTTATTATTAATTTAATGATCTAATTCAATGATCTAATAATTTTTTTTTAAATTATTCATTTTAAAATATTATATAATGTCTTATGTATATTATATCCTTTTCATATAATCATTAGCAAGATTTTTTCCTAAAAAAATAAGATTATGGATCTTTTCTTTTTTTTTTTTTTACAGATACATGGCTTCATGGCCGATATTCATAGTTGATTCTCATAAACACATCCTTTAAATATTATAACACAGCCGTATTAGCATCTTAAAACATTACTTAAAACGATATTAAAATAAGAACGGACATGAATATCGGTTTTTATGAATCTATTCACAGAATTTAAAGTTGTATTCATGTGTAGATCTATGATTTAGAGACTTGTAAGAGAATTTATAAATGTACATGAAATTAAAAAATCTCATTTTTCTAAATCTGTTAAATTCTAGAAATTATTATTTAACATTATTTAGATAATGCTAGGTAAATAATGTTATTTATTATGATCATTAATTTTTATTGTTACAAACGCTTGATATATTTACTTATTTGTTAGTTAACATGTTAAAACTTAATTGTTTTGTCAGTCATGAAATTATCTAATATTTATATATATAATAATAGATATGTTTTTTGATTTTCAACTTGTACAGGAAATAAACAGAACAACGCAGTACCCTGTGTTATGTATACAAATTATCGACATTTCACACATTCTGCATTTTATCACGACTATTTGTTTATTTATTAGGTATATTTATCGTTGAATATTTAGCGTATACAGGCAGAAATAAATTATTTATGATTTGTTTTCTTAGCATTAGATATTAATATTCGAATTTATATGCTTTTATTACGACATGTGAACAATTTGTTTTCAAGCAGCCACATTTGATGAATATTGAATCACGTTTAACTACGTAGTAAGACACTGCGAAGACCGCAGATGCACGTTTATCTGTTCAGCATCATCGTGATGGACGTCCTTTTAATTCTTGAGATTTCGAGAAGTAAGAAAGAAGTGTCTCTTCTTCTCCCTTGTCTTCTCCAGTATTCTTCTGTTCATCACGAAATGTCTGACTTGCGTGCGATTATATTGCGTTTTTGCTGAACGAGCACGTTTACGTCTCACGGAAACGATTTTGATAAGGGATAAACGTGACACCATGCGAAAACCGCACGTAGATGTAATACGTAGTGAGAAATCACGAAGCACGTAATTATTCGTTAAGCACAAAAATTACTATTCCTATATACGGTTTTATTCCATTATTATGTTAACGAAACTTCAGCATTTAACAAATGAAAAGAAAGAAATTCAAAAAGTACCATATATCGAAAATGAATGTGTATTTAGTGTAACGATGTTTTCTTCCTGACATCTTCCTTTTTACAGAATTCTCTCTCTTTTGTAAAAAAAAAAGATAATGCTCGAAGAAATAAATAAATAAATATAATATATATGTATACATTATTAAATCGAAAATTAATTAGAAGTTGTTTTTTCATATGTACAGTTCTATACGAAATTTAATATTGTTTAATCAAAAGTATTATGAGATGTTATATAATATGTAACATTAAATTAATATTATTTTATTTGACTTTCTTGGAAATAAATTGAAAAGAGAAAATGTTTTTAAAAAGAGAATAATATCGTATTAGGCATATTTTATATTATATATATATATATCTAATATTTATTATTGTGTATATATTATATTAATATTTGCCATTTTTATATGTCATGCGTATATTGTACAATAATATATGTAACTATATATACAATGTATAATTATAAACATACAATACATTCTTTTTTTTCGTTTAGAATAAAGTTTTATGTATTCTTAATATTTTAGTGTAATTAAATTTTACTTTTTTACTGTTGTATATCAGAAAATATAGTAAAATTTGAGAGTAATGTAAATGATGATGACACAGTTAAAGAACTGTAACGTTATCATCACAGTTTGAGTGACGAACGAAGTACGTTTATCACGTTTAGCAATTAAGCTTTTAATAGCAGCATATCTATTTGCGCAAAATTTTTTATCTTTATGTATAGCGTACACAAAAAGTTTGTCGAAAAATTTTCTAAAGTAATACAATTTTTCCTCATGATCATTTATTTCACTTGTAAGTGTTGCAAATTATCATTCCTCAATTATTGTTTCGGTACTGACATCGCATATCTCTCACAGGTGCGACCTAATTTTTTTTAACAGACACGTTTTATCACCTATTATGCTAAAAATTACTATTTGTAATATATTTTTCATTAATTTTTAACCACTTTCAGATGTTTTAGTCTGTGTGTGCGTCATTATAATTACCATTTTATAATGATATTCTCTCTTAAACATAAATTGAAGTACAAGAACTAATTTAAATACTTATTTGATTCATTATTTGAATGATTGTTTCTTTGTAATTCTATTATTATTTTGTAATTAAATAATTTAGTTATAATATATATATATATATACGTCAAAAAAGAATTAACCCTTGTTCTCTACATTTCGTATATGCATATGTGTGTGTATTTCGCATATAGAAAATTATTTTTAAAATTAGATAAAATTAAATTATGAAATAGGAATTTTCTATATTTTAAAGTGTAAAAGAGTTTATTTATTTGTTTTTTAATTTCTTTCTTCACACAATTAATCTGTTTTTTTTTTATTTAATTACTCTTTAAGTATACATTACTGAGAGATTATAATAGTCCAACTGCAGTAGGATTAGTAGTCTAGATTTCGATACGTTTCAATTATTTTCCGTGTTAATCACAAAGATATTAAATATGAAGATTTAAGATTGTAAATAAAAGACGACGACTTATACTCTCTCTGTCTCTTCTCTCTGATATTTCTATCAAGAAAAATTTATATCAAATTTTCTAAGAAATTATAACATCCAAACTTCTCGCGCTCTGTAGGACGCGTTTTACGTAGATACTGATTATTATCAAAGCCTATTTTTAAATTTTCAGATGCCTGTCTACGGTGCCAGGCAGAAAGTAAGAAGGAGGTTTACGGCCGGCAAGACTGCGTGGTCGTTTGGGGCGAGTGCAACCACTCATTTCATTACTGCTGTATGTCGCTTTGGGTTAAACAAAACAATCGTTGCCCATTGTGTCAGCAAGAATGGTCTATCCAACGAATGGGAAAGTAATCCTTGCGTATGCTAGTAACTAATTTCATCGCAGCTTCTAATTTTCTTACGATTATTATAATTAATCAGAATAGATCATGGAAAAAAGCTGTTACTCGTTGTAACGCATCTTAATGAATCTTGAATTTATTTTTGTTTTTGAAAATTTTTTTACAGTGATAATCAGAATACCCGATATTTTAGGCTAGGATTATTTTATTATAACATAATAATGACTAATAAACATGTATTTATATATAAAAATTTCAAATAATATGAGATCTTCGTTTATATATAAAATACTGTGAATGTTATTATAAATATAAAGTTATTGTATTTTTTCTTCTATAAAAAATTATTTTTTTTCTTTGATGTATATACTTAAATACTACTATTACTGACAAATAATAATTGTTCTTTTACCACACAGAACTTATTATTGCACCTTAAATTTTTACTATTTAATTGAACTAAAGTTTATTGTTAAATTTTTAATTGTAGACGTAACTTTAAGTTTCAAACAGTCTATAAATCCTGATATCCGATTAAGATAAGTTTAAATTACAATGAAAGTAGTGATTTACAGAATGATTTAACTAACTTTTTCTGTATTTTCATTTAGAATTTTGTAAAATTAATTCTTTTTTTCCGTTATTATTTATTGTAAAATTGTGATATGGCAAATAGTTTTAAGTATAAATTCTAACAGTATAAAAAAAGATTGAAAAAAATTTTTTAAATACACATTATTAACAAAAATTAAATTATTATATTTATTTTAGATACATAAGAGTGATACAAAATTGTTTGCCATATGATATTCATTGCTCGTCTACGGCATATATATAATGCTTATCGTTTACAAACTACTCAGAAATTATAATTACGAAATATATCAAATATCTCAAAGATAATGTCTCATATCGAAATATAAAATACCGCCACGCGTTGTGTGGACTTAATTTCAATATTCGAGACAGACGTACTCTGAAAACATTATCGTCACACACAAACATTACATAAGAGATATTACATATTTTTATCTTGCGTAGACGCTGCGGAAAAGGTAAATAGTGAGTTATCAAAGTCGGTATTGATAATGTAAAATTATTACAAATACGCAATTAAAAAATTCCTATTATAAAAGAATTAAAATAAAAAGTTTACCTTTTACATCAATATAATCATTTAACCAATTCTTTGTCTTCTATTTCAAAACAAGTAGGAATCGATAAGTAATGAAAATCACATAAGAGTATTGTAGAAAAACGCCATTTTTGTGTTAGTTGCATACACGGCGGCTTGAAAGTATTTAGGTTGATAACACACACGCCATATCACGATTTAAGCAATTACGATGACGTTGCTTAAATTCTGCTCAATCATTCTATTTTGTCTGATGTAAAGGCATCATATTTCTCGATTCGTCAAATGCAAAATTCTATTCATTTCAGAAGTTCTCGAATGGTAATTGAATTTTGAAGTGGCACATCCTTAATTATTAAGAACTTTCGTCATGTATAAGAAATTCTATTGTCTGTTTCTCTTAATTTTTTTCTTCGAAATGTGTCATCTCTTTATACGTTGGGAAAAAACCAAGCGATAATTAGAATATTAAAAGCCCTGAAGGAAAGATAAACAGAAAAATAACTTCGCTGAATTACATACATTGTATTGTAGTAAGCAGTAACTAACAATAAGATATATACACGAGGCAAGTATTCAAATAATGACTGGTACATTCCATATATTTTCCGTGCAAGCTTTTTCAGCGATAGAAACGTATCTTAAGTTCTGAATTAATTTGATTATCTAAAAGATAATCAAATTAATTCAGAACTTAAAAGATATCAGACATTCTGGAATTATTTAAAAAAGCTCATAACATCGACGTGAAATCGCTGCATATCGTAAAAATGCATGCATACGTATCGTAGCATTAATTAAATGAATAGTAAACGTTACGTGCGATTGTAAATTTATGGGATTATATATATATATATATTGATAATCGCAGAATAAGATATTAAACATTTATTAATGTGTATATATCATGACTAGACATCTTTAACGACAATCTATCAGCGATTTTGTTCGATAATAAAAATTTATGATTCGGGCGACATAGTGACTATGCGTTGATGTTTCTTGATAGAAAGCGACGGGGTCAACGAGCTAGAAGTAACATTCCGACCTTTCTTTCCAGTTTAATTCCGAATGTAGAATCGATTCTTCGACTCGCAATTGCTTGTACAGATTCTTAGATGCGTAGATTTATAGCTGCGCGAATTGATGGGATCACCATAAAAGTTCTACATCGTTAATAATATCGCTTCAGTACTTCAACACAACTGAAAAAGATTGATCATAAATGAGTAAAATAACTATTATCCTATTAAAATCAAACGTAAACTAATTTTATAAAAAGACCGTTAAAATGACAACTAAAAACGGTGGTTTTACAAAATAAGATAATCAAAATTTTACTTTTATATGACTCAGAAAGTGTGATATTTTGAATTAAAAAAAAAATAAAATGACAAATAATATTTGATCATGTTAAGAATATACATTCATTTTGCTGATATTGCTTGATCAATCATTTTTTATCAAATTGAAACATAGTTCTTCTCTGTTTTTGGGAAAATTAATTTTTTGAATTTTGTTACTTTTAAAATAAAAATTATTAAATGTTAATTAAGATAAACTAAAATTATATTTTGAGAAAAGAAGAAAAGTAGAAAAGAATTCGCGAGCATAACAGTACATGGTTTAAATAACGTGTTATAAATTACTAATGTGTTATTTTTTTATTACAGTTTTTACAATACGTAAAATTAGACATCTTGGTTTTCTAGACTTGCCCTCCTTTCTAAAATGTCCTCGAACGCGTGTTCGCAAATTTTTTAAACATATTCTAAGTTTTTCCTATCTAGATAAAAAGTGCAAATTTATTTCGCACCGTTTATTTCAGCGCTTATTTTCATTCCATTTACATATATATTATACATTTTAATTTTTTTCCGTGAAAATAAATAAAATAAAAGAGCAATATATCCTAATTTTTCACGTGATACATGGAAGATTCTTGATAAAGTTCCATACAGTATGTTCATTAAATGCAATTTTCATGTGCAATATGATCTGGGATTACAAGATCACGAGATATCGTGGATTCCGCGAAAGCTGAGGCAGTCGTACGAATAAGAAATATATTCTCATGCAACATAACACGACGAACGACGGCAATGACGTCACATTGACCGCCCATCCCTGTCGGAGGCGTGTTCGTTCTATCACGGAGCCGAAATTCCGCAAGAAGTACCGGGAGTTAAGCACACGAGACTTCGCCTTTCTGAGAAGTTCTCAACCTAACTCTAACCGGTCATTATAGCTTCAAAGAAACGATAATAATAAGTATAATGACGACGAGGTCGTCTGTACTGGCGCCGTTTCGCCTTTCTATGACGTGATTGGTCGAGCCTCCAGACGAGCCCCCACGTGACGAAACGTGACGCGGCGAAACGGAGTAGCGAATATAAAGCGAATAATACGGTGATGACCTTCGGATGATACTTTGCAAATAGCGTTACGTGTGGTGTAACCCGTATACAAGCGTGCGTAGTTAGTTAGCATTGCGCGATACATCAATAATTTTTGCGCTGATGAGTCAAATTTGTAATACTTACTCATTCAGAAGTACATGCAAGTGCATTCGGAGCAAACAATTCCCTTTAATAATGAATTTTCAAAGATGTCTAACTTTGAATAAGCTAACGCTTTCGATTTTAATTCTACTAAAGACTTATTTTATAAATATATAATTAAATGTAAATTATTTAGATTTAAGAAATACGTATGTATGGAAACATTATCTATTAATTTGAATTGATTTTCAGTAAATATTTAGAAATAAGCTAGTAATTAAAAAATTTAATTCAATTCTGAATTTTATATGTGGTTTGTTTTTTTAAATATAAATTTGGACTATATTATACATCAAAGTTATAAATTATTTCAGAATAGCTATGTTATTTTAGCGATCTTATATTTAAAGTTATAATAGAAATACAACATATTAAATCTTTATGTTTATAGATATGTCACCTATTTTGAAAATTTATATTTTTACATATTTACGAATAAATAATATTAAAACAGTATGCTGTATTTTAAAATTCAAGTCTTGGACAAAAAAATTCTACCTATCAAAAATTTATATTCTATCTTCTATGAAAAAAAATATATATTTACATTTTATAATAGATTATAAAATGTAAAGAAAAATGAAAAAGGGAAAATGCACCGAATTTTTTGAGAACTTTTACTTTAATACTAAATAAATATCTTATATTAATTATTAATTAAATAAGTGATAACGATTTTTATTTTATTAATGGTTAATTCCACTCAAATTTTTGTGTTAATTTAACATAATATGAGTATGTTGAATGGTAACACGGATACTATGTTTATATTTCAACAAAAATGGAATGTAATCTTGAATAAAGCTTGAAGAGAGAGAGTAATATATATATATATAATATTATTAATTTTTAAATATCCTATATAAAGCCAAGGACATACACACACAAACATAAAGGATTGTACAATATTCAATAAAAAACTCCAATATTTATTGTTTTTGGGAACATATGTAAAAAAAGGTAATTAATTTGTATGACAGTTTCAATTTATATTTATATCGATCGAGGGTCATCTGTGCCGAATTATAATCCAGAATTTGTATTTGAGAGTGTTCTCAAGACTATAGAGCGATACTTATTTGTTTAATCAAAACTGACACAACTGATTTAAAAGAAAGCTCTATATTTTCTAAATATAAATGTACATGTATTTTTAATGACGCATATGTAATTAAACATAAAACATCATGTGCACGTTACCCGTGAGCAGTAGCAAAGAACAGCAAAGCGATTCCGTTTCGATATGTGCGACTAGTTCGCGATTTCCGTGATACAATGGCGCGTAACTTCAAAGGTCGAACACGCGATTACGCTATACTTATATATTTTTTTTATTTTTTTTTCGATAATCGCTGTTCTTTTCATCCGCTACGGTAAAAAGATTAGTCTGAACGGGGGAGGTATCGATTCACTCTTACATAAAATCTCATATATGTTATTCCCGTCTGTCATTAATGTATTATTCTTCCAGATTCAAGGTCA